CTTTAAAAATTAATGTCACCATGTTTTGTACATTCCACTTGTGCTTGTGTCTTTTGCAGCTTCTCGTACATAACGTGATGTAGTCATGAGATGCTCGTTCAAATTTAAAAAATGCTTCTACAAACAAAGTTTCATCTGCAGATATGATCTTGTTTAGGGATCTGTGCCTTTGTGCATACGGACATCTGACTGCTGAGTAGTGATTGTGTTTTTCAGCAATAGTGTGCACCCTTCATTTACAGAGAAAAGAAGGTCAGGGACAAATCTGTAGATGGAAAAATCTCCATAAAAGTGCACTTTTCTTTTTTTTTCTACTTGTTACTTTGCACTTTTTGTTAGAAAATGTTTATTTACTATTTATTCAAGTTTTTTAAGGTATCTAATATTTTGATACTTAATTTCCATGATCTAAATATTCTCTAAAAGTTTGTTGTCATTTGGAAGTGTGTAGGCCTTCTTGCATTATTATGCTGTTATATTATGATTATATATTCAGTGGCATAAAATGGACTTTAAAATGACAATAATATCGCTTATTGCAATATATCGCACAACAAAAAGTTGTTATCGTGACAGGCCTAATTTTATGTTGTTCAGTGAGTTATTTCTGTTGTACATCACAGGTACAAAAATTAGTTTTTTTCCCTTTGCCCTTCTTTTCTCATTTACATGTTTCATCATCCATTCAGATCAGTTTTTTGTGCCTTACATTCAGCGTTTTATAATTACCACCTTATATTTCTGCTGGGGATAGAATTTTCCCAGTATTTTTAATGACTGCTCGCTTTGTAATGCGTCATGTGACTCATCCCACCATTTAGTCTTTTATTTAGTCTCTTTTCTCTACTGTAATTATTCCATTAAACTGCTTGTTTTAAGAGAAACATCATATGTTAAAGATGGATTGACAACTAGTGAGATTTTTTAGTTTTCCTGGATTAAGTTTATTCATCTGCATAACTACTTTATTCAACATGAAATCAGAAGTGACCCTTCTGTTGGTGAATAATATTATACATATTTTATAAATGGTTGATTTTTCAATTAGTGGAATCTTTTTCCTCTAGAATGATTTTAAACTTTTTTTTAATCTTAAAAGTTTTACAAGATGGATTTCACATTTGTATTGCCTCTTTACTTTAATTTTAAAACAATGTAGAAAGGTTTCTTCTTCATTTGCCAGAATATGCCTTTTTATGCCGTTGCCTTTTAAATCTACAATAAATTATATACTTTTCCTGCTGCATATCGTTTCATTTGTTTTCTGTATTAAAATGCTGTCATTGTAAATCACTCTGAAGAAAAGTCAGCAGAAATTTAAGTCGTTTCTCTGTGATTTCAGACACTGACAATCATCTGTTGGTGAAAGACTCGTACAGCGAGGACGAGGAATGTCTTGGTGCTCCTTCCATTTATGAAGCTCAGTCAGGATCGCCGAAGAAAGCAGCTTCCTGCACGACCCATAAACCCTTTCTCCACTTTACCACGTGAGTCAATTGAGTTCATACAGAACTCCGCTTTAATCCTCAGTACACTTTAATTAATAAGTACACCGTGAGACCCCTCATTTATTACACTTATGTTTCAATTGTAAAATGAGTAACAAGTATATATATATATTTTTAAACGAATACAGCCCTTCATGCTGATATGGCAATAGAAAATAAACAATAAACAAAACTAGGGCTGCACGATAAATCGCATGCGATATTTAACGAGCATCTTGTCAGTAAAGCCGTTTACTTTAATTTTAAAACAATGTAGAAAGGTTTCTTCTTCATTTGCCAGAATATGCCTTTTTATGCCGTTGCCTTTTAAATCTACAATAAATTATATACTTTTCCTGCTGCATATTGTTTCATTTGTTTTCTGTATTAAAATGCTGTCATTGTAAATCACTCTGAAGAAAAGTCAGCAGAAATTTAAGTAGTTTCTCTGTGATTTCAGACACTGACAATCATCTGTTGGTGAAAGACTCGTACAGCGAGGACGAGGAATGTCTTGGTGCCCCTTCCATTTATGAAACTCAGTCAGGATCGCCGAAGAAAGCAGCTTCCTGCACGACCCATAAACCCTTTCTCCACTTTACCACGTGAGTCAATTGAGTTCATACAGAACTCCGCTTTAATCCTCAGTACACTTTAATTAATAAGTACACCGTGAGACCCCTCATTTATTACACTTATGTTTCAATTGTAAAATGAGTAACAAGTATATATATATATTTTTAAACGAATACAGCCCTTCATGCTGATATGGCAATAGAAAATAAACAATAAACAAAACCTATTAGATTTAAAAGTCTTGAAGGGGTTTATATGATAGTCAAACACTGTGTTTTGCTGCCATCTGTTGGAAAGCTGCAGGACTGACAGGCGGCACTGACATGGCTTGTGTTCCTCAGCAGACCTACTTCAATTGCATTTGCATTGATTTGTTCTTCATGGTTCAGTAAAACAGTGTTTTATGGCATTAGCTTGTGATCATCAATACTTGCAGATCCTCACACTTAAATGAGATGTTGGCTCATCTTAATATATTAATATACAGTGTAGATGTCAAATGCATGAAAATTTGTCCTCCCTAAAAAGCTGCCAACTTTATCAATTACCTTCTTTATTTCTCTTCATTATTGGAGTTTTGTTTAGCCATCGTAGCTTCATTCCTCTTGTCAGCAACTCTTCCTAAATGAGAAACTGAGGCTGTTTCTCAAAACTAGAGCTTTTGTAGACAGCATTTCTGTGCTTGATAAATGCAGTTTTGAAGGTTTGATTTGAATGTTCCTAACTAGACAGATAGATAGTGACCTTTTATATTTGTTTCAGTTCTGCCTACCAGCAGCCCACCTCTTACCGGCCACGGCTGCTGCTGACGGGACCCCAGGGCGCGGGGCAGAGCACACACCTGGCCCCTGCTGTGCTGCACCACCTGGAGAAGTTCACTGTGCACCGTCTCGACCTACCCACGCTATACTCCGTCAGTGCCAAAACCCCAGAGGAGTCCTGCGCTCAGGCAAGATGAAACGCACCATCACTTTTGAAGACGTCACACGTCCAGTGTGTGGTGCTGTGGGCTTGTAGTACTGTTGTTGTGCTTAAGATATGTGATGATGGTAGTCAGCGCACTCTGACCACCTTATTTTTTTTTACATAAGAGTGAATGCGTTCATTTGTAACTTTGGGTATGTGTGTGTGTCTGTGTGTAGGTGTTTCGTGAGGCTCGGCGCTGTGTACCCAGCATCATCTATATGCCTCACATCAGTGACTGGTGGGAAGCCATCAGTGAGACGGTCAAGAGCAGCTTCCTCACACTCCTGCAGGATGTACCCTCATTCACACCGCTCCTCATCCTCGCCACAGCAGAGACCATCTACCAGCAACTTCCTGACGAGGTGACCAATCTGTCCCCTGAACATACCCCTAACCCTTTTGAAAAAGTTGTTGTTGCATGGAAATTATTGATGCTTGAATGCATTACATTATAATTAAATAATTACATATTGAATTATAATAATAAAAATATAGTTATTAGTATTTTTTAACTATATTTATTTATATATATATATATATATATATAACGACAGCCCACAATCAGCGTGTTATGTTACTGTTATCCCTTACGCCTCCGATGAGGTTTTGTTCCGTCGAGGGAGTGACAGGGTGGAAGGATGAGATAAAAGTAATGCAGTCTGAAGTCACAACCAAAAAAAAAAAAAAAACTCTCTCTCTTAATTATGCTGACGGGAAGTCACTCTGGCAGCTCTGCGGTTTCACCTCACAATCCAGCATCAAGCGCCTCCAGCGGCTCATGCTGTGCACCCCATGCATCCCAGGGTGAGTCGCTGGGCAACTGGTGATTGGCTGGTGGCGAAGCCCTTGATCATAGCCCCCGCTGAAGAGACTGATGCCCACCAGGAGGGCACGAGAGTGTTTAGAATAAAAGCATTAATGTTATTGACAGGCCCGTCTCTCACTCGCTCTCTTCTTGCAAGGTGTGTTCATTAAAGCCTGTCTCATTCCTCTGAGGAAAGACACATGTTTAATTGATAGTAGACGAGGATGGGTTGGTTATTTCACCCTCTGTGTGGTGCTGGGTTCTGTCACACTTGTTTTTTGTTTTCTCATGTGCTTTGAAAATTTGACTCGACTTTCAATGTCGAATGACCCCTTTGAAGACCCCTGTGGTATCTTGATGTTGAAATTCCACCTATATGACAGTGTTTGGATTATGAATCTGCAGTCACCGGATATTTCAGTAGGTTAGGTTTGAGTTGCTTGACTTTTTTGTATTTTATATTGTCTTGACATGAGTAATTTCAAAGTTCTTGAAGTGTGTTTTAGATGTTAAATCCCAGGATAGTGTGCTGAGACAAATATTATATAGATTAATAGGTTGATTTTGCTGAAAAGTGGAAAAATGTATAAAGGGATTAATAATATATTGTTATTGTGCGATTTTTAGATTTTTTTTTTTTTAAATCAGCATCAGTCAGCATTGGATATACTGTCCAATATCGGATCTTTAAGTGTATGTTTTCCCCTATTTTTTACATTTTTAGATCACCTTTGCCATCATATCACGCTCACTTAGTTAATCTTTCAAAAAAAAACTCTGACTACGTTTACATGGACATCAGTAATCTAATTATTTACCTTATTCTGACTAAGACAATATTACGATTAAGGTGTTTACATGTGTTGCTTTTAGAATATCCCTTTCATGTTCCCGTTTTACATGTTATAGTACATAGATCGATTAATGGGATACGTCATTACGTCCCCACGCGATGCCATCTGACGTCCCCTCCAGAATTTCACGTATAAACATATAGTTTGTCTTCATTATGAAGCCATATACAGTTTTGGGTGTTTCATTTCTAATTTACTGAAAGCTTCAAGTGCAGTTAAAGGGGTCATATGATGCGATTTCAATTTTTCCTTTCTCTTTGGAGTGTTACAAGCTCTTGGTGCATAAAGAAGATCTGTAAAGTTGCAAAGACTAAAGTCTCAAATCCAAAGAGATATTCTTTATAAAAGTTAAGAGTCAGCCACGCCTACCTAAAACGGCTCGTTCTAACACGCCCCCACATATCTACGTCACTATGTGGGAAGATTTGCATAACGCCGCCCAAATGTTCACGCAAAGAAAGAAGGCGTAACTTTTATTCTCGCTGTAGTATTGTTGTTGACGCCGCCATGTCGTGAAGGCGCTGTGTGTTTCGTTGTGAAAGCGAAACTACTTTGTTTGGCCTTCCAAAAGAGGACGATATCTGCTTCGTCATGCCTGGAGCTGATCCGTGCTGGTTGCTGAGGAAATACAACAACTTTGCGCTGTGGATCACCGGATCGGCTTTCACTGTGGACGAAGCGGAGTCCAGCCCGGGTCGTCACATGTGGTTGCCGCAAGCCCTCCGGACGCTCCTTCGTCGAATCCGATGGCTGCGCCGCTCTCAAGCCCGCCGCCTCTGCTCACTCTAGCCCTCCGGCTGTTCCTCACGCTAGCCCCCGGCCTCTGCTCACTCTAGGCCGCCGTGTGTGAGGCTGTGTTTCGTTGTGAAAGCGAAACTACTTTGTTTGGCCTTCCAAAAATGGACACGACTAGAAATCAGTGGTTAAGTTGTATTTACAACACTGTTCCAGAACACTTCAACCCAAATATTCAGATGTGTGCAGCACATTTTATGGAGGACCGTTTCCTGATCCTGGGAGAGTAGACTACAATGCCGGCTGTTCTGACTCAAAGACTGTAAGTACGTTTTTTATATTTAAAGAGTTTTTATATTTTATATATTTAAAGCGAGTTTTTTGGGCAGTGTAGAGTAGGGCTTGTGTCATGCTATACATGCAAACAGACGACAGCGTTGTTGAAGCCATTCTTTTGTTTGCCGTCAAACGGTTGACCACTGCCGTGTGTGTATCCTGTCGCAAAATGCGGCAAAAGTCCTACATGACTGTAATAATGTGATTAAGGTGTGTACATGTCTTTAATGCACTTCAATAATGTGACTAAAATAGGAATACTCCACATGTCTTAATTCGATTTCTGTTTACTTCGATTATGACTTTAGCTGGATTAAGGTAATCAAAAATCTCTGTTTACATGGTAGACTCTTAATCAGAGTATTGTCTTAATCGTATTAAAATCGGAGTATTGTTGTCCATGTAAACGTACTCACTGTTAAATATAATCATTAGCGAACCTCAAAATGAATTTCCATTTTTCATGCTGTGCATTCTAAATTCACATGTAAAACGAGTTAGTTATTAGCCATAACTATAATTCATTATGTACAGTAATTATTTGTAGTTAATTATTAATTAACTACAAATAATGATCAGTTTATCATTAATGGCCAGATATGTTTTAAATCGGTACCTTCATAGTTTTTGACAAAACTTTCCTTTTTTGCTGATTTCATCTAGGCTGTGCGGCCTATTGGTTAATGTTAATCAACACTGTCTTATGTTAACCAATAGCCCAAAAGCTATTTAGGCATCTCTTGCAAATCCTGGTTTAAAAGCGCCCTTAAAGTGTGTCCTTTGAAGTCTCAATAGAGCAGTATTCCTCCATAATCTTGTTCTGATTGTGGTACAGAACACCCACTTTTCATGATCCAATCCATTTCTGATGGATACTATCAAGTCATGCCCTGCATTTAATTTAATTTCATTTATTTTTGTGACGATTTGTTAATCTAATGAATAACTGATTTGTTAAATCAAATGAAAAATTGTGTGTTTGATTGGTCCAGACGCTACATTGGCTTCAAAAGTGTTGTTTTTTCTTACTTTTAAACTTAACATGTCAGCTTAAAAAATTACAAATGTTTTTGTCAAATTTTCCAGTTAAAATGTCTAAAAATCATTGAAACAAGATTTACATGAGATGCATCACTGAAAGATGTTAAGATTAATTGTTAGAGAATGTATCAATATAAATGTATTTCATCTTATTGTGCTGGCAGATTTTTTCTCACTTGTAAAATACATTTATCTTGTTCCAAGCATATTTTTGAGGTATTTTAACTGTAAATATTTATTTAAAAAAATAGGATTTTTGCAGTGTTATACGTAGCCAGATGGGGTGTCGATTTCCCCAAAGTGTGAATCCCTGTGATGTTGAAAGGGAAAATCTATCCAAAAATATTGTTTCAAAAGTGTATGACTTAGGGGTGGGCGATATAGCCTCAAAATTATATCACAATATTTCAAGAATATTTGCGATTAATGATATTTATAACGAAACTGAGTTAGTAACTGAGTTACATCATTATAAAAGTAACCAATTACCAGGGAAAGTAACTATTGTTACATTTAAAAAAAAAAAAAAGTTCAAATATGTCAAATAACTTGGATGCCTTCAATATTAAATGTTACTGTAAATGAATGAAATGGTCACTACATGGAATAAATTATTATTTTGTAAACATTGTACACTAATACAAAACAATTTAAAAATACTTTAACACTTTTTAACATTCTAGCAGATATTATACCAACAAAGCACAATTTAACTTAAAATTAATAAGTTAGTAAAATAATATTTTGTGGCCATTTTTGAGACCCCCTTGAATCAGGCATGCAAATAAATGCAGTCTTGCTGAGCAGAAGAGGATTCTTTTAAAACATTAGAAGATACTACAGATCCCAATTTGAACACTATGTGTGAATGTTATAATAAATCTATTAATAGTGCTGTTGTAATTATTATCATTATTATTGTCTTACTTTTAAATTTTATTTAACAGAACAACAGTAAAATTACAGTACTAACATTTATGAATCGTGATGGAGCTTTTATTTTGACGGAAACCTGCAGGAAGTCCTCTGTGCTTCTTTTTGTTGACAGCAGCAGATTTATAAATTATTCTCATTGCTTTAATAAGTTAGTAAAATAATATTTTGTGGCCATTTTTGAGACCCCCTTCTTGAATCAGGCATGCAAATAAATGCAGTCTTGCTGAGCAGAAGAGAATTCTTTTAAAACATTAGAAGATACTACAGATCCCATTTTGAACACTATGTGTGAATGTTATAATAAATCTATTAATAGTGCTGTTGTAATTATTATCATTATTATTGTCTTACTTTTAAATTTTATTTAACAGAACAACAGTAAAATTACAGTACTAACATTTATGAATCGTGATGGAGCTTTTATTTTGACGGAAACCTGCAGGAAGTCCTCTGTGCTTCTTTTTGTTGACAGCAGCAGATTTATAAATTATTCTCATTGCTAATTTGGGAAGCTATTAATAGTGCTGTTGTAATTATTATCATTATTATTGTCTTTTAAATTTTATTTAACAGAGCAACAGTAAAATTACAGTACTAACATTTATGAATCGTGATGGAGCTTTTATTTTGACGGAAACCTGCAGGAAGTCCTCTGTGCTTCTTTTTGTTGACAGCAGCAGATTTATAAATTATTCTCATTGCTAATTTGGGAAGATGCACGTATCACATTGTCACATGCCTTGTAAGGATTCATAAAAATGTTACTGAGCAACTGACGAGTAACACAGTTTCAGCGCAGATTTCCCTCGCGGGTTGGACTTTGAACCCTGGCTAACTAGAAAAAACTGAACCCTGGACTTCGAACCCTGGCTAACTGTTTGATTACGTCTTTAATTGATTTTTCCGTACATTTCTGCCATATGTACATTGACTGACAGTCACCACTGATAAGCTACCACTAAATATTGTAGAAACTTAATTTGCTGTAAAGTTGCTTTGCAATGATTTGTATCGTGAAAAGCGCTGTACAAATAAACTTGAATTGAATTAACTAGACAGCGCCGCGAGCTCGTGCAGCACTGTTTGAACATGCAATTCATGCGTGTATTAGAAAACATAACGTTCTGCAGTGTATTTAATTGTTTAAGGCCATTTCGCGATTTTAATCATCATAACAGTAACCAGCAACAACCACTCCTTCCTCTTCTCATCGGAGACATGAGATGCAGCATTAAGCAGTCTCTCGCTGTTGGTGCTTTTAATGATTTTTGCGTCTTTCTCGGACAGTTTTAAATACTTTCACACTGCCGTCATGTTTGCTGCATTAGTGCATGCCTCTATTTGATCGCGTCATGTGTTGTTCGGTACAATTTATTCGGTCTTATTGCTTATTTGTCCGAACACCAAAAAAGAGCTTTTTTTTTCTTTTCGCTATTTTCGGCCGAATAATTTCGGCTGCCGAACATTCGGTGCATTCCTAGTAAATACGTCATCGCGTTGCTATATCATTGATATCGCGATATGACACTTTTTTTATCATGTAAAAATGTATACCAGTGTTATCGTGGACCGTATGATATGGCACACCCCTAGTATGACTTTCTTCTTCACAACACAAAATAGTGGTCGACCGATATGGGTTTTTTGACAGCCGATGCCGATATGTTGGAAAGCAGGGAGGCCGATATAAAGCCGATATAATTTTATTTATTTTAATTTATATTTAAGAAATTTGAAATCATTTGAAAATGGATTAAAAATAATTGTGTAAAATAAACATACTTATACTTTAGAAGACAAAGCATTTTTTACAAATAAATAAATATTTAATAAAAATCTAATTAAAAAGGAAGTAAACACTGTAACCAACAGGGCACTCAGTATTCCGTTTGTAAGCATTGGGAATTATTTTATTTTATTTTTTTCAAATAAAGCCAAGGTAACACTCATTTTACATAGAGCACGCAATGAAAATGACATGAATATGACAGTGGGCAAATGCATAAAGCGCAGCATAATTTGAAATCAC